TAAGAAATGAAAAAATAGGTCACTGGAGAGAAAAATGCAAGCCAAGAAGGCTGTGAAAATCTCTTTCTTTTTGCAGCTCATTCGAAGCCCTTTACTGAGCGCTTCGGCGGACGATCAGTGAGTGGCCCTACGAGGGTGCAGACGTCAGATGAGATAGCAAAGAGACAAGCGGGAAGCATGCATCGCTTAGGCCGATGTCAGACTTTGCGAATCGCGCGATTCGCTACTAGCGATTCGCGCGATTCGCAAAGTCTGACATCGGCCTTACAACGCCAATGCCATGCGAAGTAGAGGAGAGGTGCAGTCATAACATAAAAAAGAAGTCACAGGAGAGGCAATAGGCCTTAATGTCCCTCCATTTCACCTTTGTGGCGGGAAATTGGTGAAATCAGTGCGCTTGTGGGCCAACCTACCCTCGCCTTCAAATGACCAGAAATTGTGCAATTGCAGAAATTGACGTGGCATTGGCACACGTGGCTAAATTCTCGATGAAAAGGTGACATCGTGTGCTCAAAGATGTTCTTGAATCGATGCCACGTTAATGCCACGTCAATTTCTGCAATTGCACAATTTCTGGTCATTTGAAGGCGAGGGTACCTTCCTCGCGCGAGAAGCTTTATTTCTTCAATTCATAGTGAAATGTGCTCCGGAGCTTCACGTAGCATTCGTACATTCGGATCAGCATCAGACTTCGCGTCTGGATAAAAGCAAGAGTTCATACTCTTACCTCGATCTCGATCTCATCGGGTTTGAGGTTACTGAAGACACCTTTCAGCTTGCCTTTGAGCACCTTGTATTCCTGCACATATGGATTCTTTACATCCTGAAACAGTTCAGTAATAAAAATAGGAATTCTTTACATCTTGTCTTGTCTTGAAATAAGTCAGCAATGAAAACAGGACGTTCTAGTAGTAGTAGCACAATGAGCATATTGGATAATAAAAGGCTTGCGATCCCTGGCGGATCAATAAAATCGATTTACTGAGAAAAATCGCCAAGCTTCCAAATAACCTACCTGCCACAACCTTGTAATCAGCAACCTGTCATCGTCTACGTTATCGTTGTAGTGACGTCCGTACAGTTGAAAAAACTTTTTCCGCCCTTCTCTCATCAACCACGGATAGTATCCATTTGAACTCTTCGAATTCTTGCTTTGTTTATTCTTTTTCCTGGAGTAAACAATTTAGTAATACGCACGGATGGCGTGGTTCGTTCAAAGTTCTCCAAGTTCACAGCGGTGCTGGGTCATTTTCATCAGATCAACCACTATGAACAAGTCAGCGACACAACGCAGTAAAACACTGGATCTTTACACCGTTCGCTGCTGCTCGCTTTTCCACGAAAACCTTGAAATCGGGCGAAGATGATGCAGACGCAGGTGGTGCCACATATCCCGCGCTTAATCCTGAGCTCAACCTCATCGTAACTCGATTATGAGAATCGACCCTCTCCCATCTCCTGAGTCTCCCCTCTCCCATCTACAGGAATCCATCCGCCTGGGGTTACCAAAACTCTTTCCTACAACCGCTGCCTCCAATACGTACTGTGTATTCATATCCTAATTCAATTCGGCATAATAATCTGGATGATGTATTGTGTATAGCGCACACCCAGAAAGCTCAATCGGCGTCGGATAATATATTCGGATATTCTCCTAAGTTTTGGAAATCCGCAGACCATTGATTGGCCAATGACCATCCCACTATATCCGTCTCTTGAGGATAAAAGGATAAGGAATAAAGCATTTGCCGTTGATCAATCCCTTTTTGGGATGCGGCACGCATTCTACTTCCATTTGTACATTCGTAGTGGCGTTTGAATGCGATGTGGCCTATACAATGACTTGGGCCAGCCGATGTACAAGTCAGTTTATCCTCCCAGACAAGTCTGGTACCAATTAACCGACCCCGGAGGGATGGAAGGCTTGGTTGGCCCATACGACGCACGATTCGATCCCCGGACGCGCGCGTGGTAAGCGTGCCATTTGCCACCACACCACTGCTTCCCAGTCAAATAAGCCTTACAAATATTGGCTTCCTAGGCCCTATATCCTATTTTCATTGAAAATGCACATGTAACACGAAAAATCAGTTTGGGCGCACGCGAAAACATTATATTTTCACATAGCAGACGCGCTAATGTATTACGTTAAAGAGCTAGGACAGGCCTAAGGAATCGGATATTTCGACCACATTAAAGACCCAAATATAATTTAGATAAGTGTTAATGTTGTTGCGCATTGAATCCAACTCAAACCCCACAAAAATTGCCTAACACCCTAAATATACGTGTATACAACCTGGAAGTTGTCAAGCTATGCTTCAATTCGATCCTAAAGACTTGGATAAGGGTCTAGTTGATAAAAATGCTCGATGTCAACAATCCGATGAAATCAGCTCGTAGGTGGGACATCCAACGCTTCCTCTCCCGAGGTTCAATGTGTAGAGCATGAGTTAGGGAAGAGGACAAAAATAAACAACGAAAAATCGGGAACTAGTAACAGTACTGATTCGCTACTTGCGATTCGCGCGATTCGCTAGCGTCCGCGGTCGCGTTGCGGTACCAGCCAATTGAGTGATTCACTGGCCGCGACGCGACCGCAGACGCTAGCGAATCGCGCGATTCGCAAAGTCTGACATCGGCCTAAAAGCGGATGTTAGGAAAAATCGTTGTCCATAAAAGAAGTGTGGTAGAGTGTGCACTGGAGAGGAGAAAACCGAACCTAGCTCGTTCGCATTCATGCGTTTGCGTTCATTACCTAGAAACGGCCACTCAACATGAAATGGCCCTTTCAGAATGAAGAGCAAATTAGGGCAATACTAGTGTCAGCAATCAACCAATCATAGCCCAAGTTCTCCACCCGGCGGCGGGGCCGCATCACGGCAATTGGCTTTGCAAGAAATAGGGTTTCTCTTGTTGTGGGGGGAAATGGGAGCGCCTTTCGGCGCTAGTACAAAGCTAGTCTTCGGCTTCCTTGGGGGCCTCAGCCGTCCTTTTATAGTAGGCATACCTCCCCTTCTTCTACATTCGATTTATTGTAATATACCCCTTCAAAGGAAGCGATCACGCTGGCTCCGAGCTAGAGCTGCATACTACGCATTTACAATCGAAAGACTCGAGATAAGAGCTGAGTAGGAGGAGCCTAACTTCATGGGGATGTATATACGATAGATAAAGAATATAATACGAAGTTAGAATAAGGTGCACTCCAAGAAAAACGGACATAACGGAAAATGATATAACTTCGTATAGCATACATTATACGAAGTTCCGACGTCCGATACTACAGTCGAAATCTCGAAGTCAGATTAGGCGTGGCTATGGATTTGACGTGGCCTTTGCCGCACTTGATAAAAGCCGTGAGGATAGGCTGTTTCTAACGTACTCCATTGGATATCAGCAGAGCATGCTTATCCGCGCAACTTCCATCAAATGCGGCGGCCGCCACGTCAAACCCATAGACACGCCTAATCTGACTTCGAGATATCGAGTATAGGTGGTGCTGCTTACCCCGAATTGGTTGCGGCGCTTTCATCACGCCATGGATAAGGCGACTCTGCTTGTGAGTGTCAACTGTTGGCTCATTAGGAATACAGCGGAATGATATTTCCAGTCGGACCGAAATTCAAGCATTCCAAACGTTATGCTTACCAGTAACCACTTACCACCGCTTCTCCTACCCCTATCTATACTTGAAATAAAAAAGACTGACTCACGGTTGTCTATGATAAGATCGATCCTCAAAGGGCAGGGATTCCTCGTCATGCGTCCAGACGTTCGCTCCATCAAATAAGGGTGAAGCTCTGAAAAGGACCTATCAAGCACACCATTTCAAAAACCTAAATTAGAAGTCCTTATCCAATACACACAAACCACTGTTATCTATTTCTTTTTTTCGAACCCAACACGAATTGTTATGTAGGATTTTTGGCTGACGTTTCGACTGGATCGCCTTCTTCAGAGCCTGAAGGAATAAAATGAATCCACAACAACCCAGTCGGATGGCTTCGCTAGCTTACTGATCTTCGAGATCCAACTGACCACTGCGTTCGCACGTGTCTTGAGGCAATTAGGGTGTTCTTATAGTATATTGGTCCGAGGTGAAGTGGCGTCGCACTTCGGTACGTGAACGGCAGTCAGCTGAACACAGTCCTTGTAAACCTGAGGTTCCGTCTAATCGGCACGCCTCACCGGAATCCTTCGGTAGAGACACACCACGCTGGATTAGGACAAGGCTGATTGTGTCAGGAAAATACCTATATACACATACATCACATTTGAGAGCATACTCAGAAGCAAGTGATAAGACAGTTGCCAGAATAACTATCCTACTATATATAATTCGCTAAGTATGTCTGTGTGTGTGTGTGTGTGTGTGTGTGTGTGTGTGTTTGTCACGAAATTCGTAGCTCGGGTCACAGCAACGATAGCGCCATGGTTCTTACATATGTTATAGGGGGTGGGATGGGGACACAAGTGGTACGTGATAGGAACTGATAACGACTGATAATAGCTGATAAGAGGGGCTAGAAAGCGAGCATCGCCAATTTCGTTTTGTCGTTCATATTGTACTAGAGCGTCTATACTTACAAGTGTTATGTAGTGTGGTCCCGGGACAATGGTGGTACATGAATGGAAGCGATAGCAACTGATAAGGGCTGATAAGGGGCGTCAGAACGCAAAAGTCGTCGATTCCGTTACGCAGCTTGCGTTGACACTAGAGCGTCCATACTCGCAGGTGTCATGTGGGGTGGGACGGGGACATTGTTGGTAGGTGATGGAAAGTGGTTACAACTGATAAGGGCTGATAAGGGGCGTCAGAACGCAAAAGTCGTCGATTCCGTTACGCAGCTTGCGTTGACACTAGAGCGTCCATACTCGCAGGTGTCATGTGGGGTGGGACGGGGACATTGTTGGTAGGTGATGGAAAGTGGTTACAACTGATAAGGGCTGATAAGGGGCGTCAGAACGCAAAAGTCGTCGATTCCGTTACGCAGCTTGCGTTGACACTACAGCGTCCATACTCGCAGGTGTCATGGGTGGGACGGGGACATTGTTGGTAGGTGATGGAAAGTGGTTACAACTGATAAGGGCTGATAAGGGGCGTCAGAACGCAAAAAAGTCGTCGATTCCGTTACGCAGCTTGCGTTGACACTACAGCGTCCATACTCGCAGGTGTCATGTGGGGTGGGACGGGGACATTGTTGGTAGGTGATGGAAAGTGGTTACAACTGATAAGGGCTGATAAGGGCGTCAGAACGCAAAAGTCGTCGATTCCGTTACGCAGCTTGCGTTGACACTAGAGCGTCCATACTCGCAGGTGTCATGTGGGGTGGGACGGGGACATTGTTGGTAGGTGATGGAAAGTGGTTACAACTGATAAGGGCTGATAAGGGGCGTCAGAACGCAAAAGTCGTCGATTCCGTTACGTGGCTTGCGCTGACACTGGAGCGTCCCTACTTACAAATTGTATTTGTAGTGGTACGTGCACACTGTATCATTGTATGACCAGCCTACTTAATAGCAGTCTATTGCATGAATTCAATCAAGTCTTCAGCAAATGATAACTTTCGTTCCTATCAAGAAAGCCCAAACTCATTAAACCGCTAATCCTTTCGGGGTTCTAAATAATGGTGAATGTAAATAAATGATAAGCCTTAGCTCTTCACTTATGTAAATAGGCATATTTCATTTTCATTTTGAGACTGACAGCAATCTATTCACCGCTAAATTATCTGAATTCAAGAAGAATGCTGGATGTTTACAGTTGTGAGATAAATATGCCAGTTCAGCTCCAGACGTTATCACGCGTATTCTCGATGG